CTTGAAAGCAGAGCAAGGATTTGTGAAGAAAATGAGGAGAAATTTCCTACAGTTAGAATTAATCAATGGAACAGCATACCTCCAGAAGTTGTGAATGCCCCAACACTGGAAGTCTTTAAGAAGATGCTGGATAGCCATTTGTCTGAAACGGTATAGGGTTTCCTTCCTAGGCAGGGGGTTGGACTAGAAGACCTCCAAGGTCCCTTTCAACTCTGCTATTGTATTGTATATGAAGTATGATTGCAGGAATTGGGTATGTCTAATGAAAAGAAGGACCAGAAAATGACATGTTAGCAGTATCCCAATATTTGAGGGGCTGCCACAAAGAAGTGAGGACAATTAACCAGTGGGACAGCTTGCCACCAGAAGTTGTGAATCTCCAACAGTGGAGGTTTTTAAGAAGAGTCTGGACCATCACTTGTCTATAATGGCATAGGGTTCCCTGCTTGAGCAGAGGGTTGGGCTAGAAGACCTCCAAGGTCCCACCCAACCGTGTATTCTATTCTTTTACTGTTCTATTCTTTTACTTCTGCTTCGCTCTTTTCATTCCTTCCCTTTTCATTGTTGTAAGACGCCTGGAGTAGCCCCAGGCCAGATAGGCGGCCAATATATTCATCAAAATAAATCAATCGTTCTTTTTCCAATCCATCACTCTGACAATCCGTCAACCGTTACCTGAGAAAGCCACTCTTCATCTTCTTGTCCACTGTGATCAGAAGTTAAGCTGTCATAGGATTCATGGCGGGTGATCGGTCCTGGGCTTCCCAGCGGAACTACTGTTGGGAGGGGGGGAGAGAGACGAGGCAAGAAAGAAATCACACATGATTAAGAGTATATTTTTAAAAAAAAGCACACAAAGGGAGTCCTCGATTTACGACCACAATTCAGCCCCAAGATGTATCTTGCTAAGTGAAACATTTGTTAAAAGAGCTTTGCCCCGTTTGACGAACTTTCCTGGCTGTTAACGGCTAAGCAAATTGCGGCAGTTGTTAAATTAGTAACACGGTTGTTAAGTGAAGCTGGTTTCCCCATTGGCTTTGATTGCAAAAAGGTCGCAAAAGGGGAATCGCGTAATCTTGGGATGTAAATATGAGCTTCCAAATTTTGCATCACGTGGAGAATCTGTAAGGGTCGTAAGTGTGAAAAAGAGCCATAAGTCACTTTTTTCACTGCTGTTGTGGCTTCGAACGAATGAAGGATTGAAAACCAAATTTGTACATTTCATATTTTTTTTATGTTGCTTGTTTGATTACAGGTGGTTCTCGATCTACAACCAGAACCGAGCCCAAAATTTATGTTGCTAAGCAAGACTTTAAGTGGGTTTTGCCTCATTTGACCCCTTTGTTGCCACAGTCGTTAAATGAATCACGACAGTTGTTTAAGTTCATACAGTGTCAAGTCTAACTGGCTTCCCTGTTTACCTTGGCTTATCAGAAGGTTGCAAAATGACCCCAGGATGTTGAGACCGTCATAAATACGAACCAGTTGCCCAGCAACTGATCACGTGACTCTGGGGATGCTGCAACTGTTTGACAAACAGCCATTTAAGTCACTCCCCCCATTTCCCCCCCGGTGTTGCAACTTCGAACAGTCAGTAAACGAATGATTGTAAGTCAAGGACTATCTGTACTAGGTTGACCTCATCTGACTCCAAGCCGTTGGACGTTACGATTCTGATGACCAGCGAAACCGATCCAGCATACCAGAAATCTGAGCAAATTTCTGGTATGCTGGATCGATTTTGCTGATCGTCAGAATCTTAAATGTTTCTTAAAGCCTGTTAACAAAGAAATGCTAGGAAAACCAAGAACACCTTCAGAAGAGTAAAGACTCCGTTTCAATTCAGAATTGAACTGGAAGGGACCTTGGAGGTCCTCTAGTCCTGCTCAAGCAAGAGACCCTATGCCAGTGATGGGGAACCCTTTTGGTACCGAGTGCCCAAATTGGAACATGCATCCATGTGCGCGTGCCGGAAACCCAAATACCAAGTGCCTGGCACATGCATGCCTGTTTTTGGCCGGTTTTGGCTGGGGTTTTCGGGCCATTTTCTGGGCCAAAACGGCCTGAAAATGGCCCCCAAACAGCCTGAAAATGGCCTAAAAAACTGCCTGGTGTTTGGCCATTTCTGGCCCGTTTTCAGGCTGTTTTCCCAAGACCAACTGGCTGGGTGCATGTGCGTGCCATGCGTGCCCACAGGCACCTGAGGGCAGAACAAGAAGCAATGGGTGGAAACTAATCAAGGAGAGAAGCAACATAGAACGAGGAATTTCCTGACAGTGAGCACAATTAATCAGTGGAACAGAAGTTGCCTCCAGAAGTTGTGAATGCGCCAACACTGGAAGTCTTTAAGATGATGCTGGATAGCCATTTGTCTGAGCCGAGGTGGCGCAGTGGTTAAATGCAGCACTGCAGGCTACTTCAGCTGACTGCA